TTTTCTGCAGTTCTACGAATATATCGTGCTTTTGCTTTAGCTTGTTTGAACGCAAGGAGGTTGTCACATGTGGGGTACCTACAGAAGTTGCACCATGCTTTATTCTGTAGTTTTTTGGCTTTTGCACACTCACTCGTCCACCATGGCTTTAACTTTCTTCCCACTAGTCCTGAAGACTGGGGAATAGCTTGCTCTGCCGCAGACAGTATGCGATCGGTGAACTTGTCATTTATTTCCTCTACTGTTAGGTGTTCAGAGAACTCAGCATGTAGATTAGCTCTCTGTGTAAACAAAGGCCAGTTAGCTTTGTGAAGCTTCCAACGCTGTGGTCGAGAGCGTATGGTCGGAAGTGGCGACGTTAGTTTTACAATCGACGGTAGATGGTCACTACCATAAGGGTTGTTTATTGTTTCCCATGTAAAATCTGCAAACAGTGAGCTAGAGCACAGTGCCAAATCCAAGCAACTCATGGTTCCTGTGCCTGGAGAGCAGTATGTTGGTGATCCAGTGTTTAAAAGACACACATAGTTAGTAAGAATAAAATCTTCAATTACCTGCGCCCTACTGTCTGTCTTTACACTACCCCATAGTATGTTATGCGCAGTGAAATCTCCTGCCATTAAAAAAGGTTTAGGTAGCTGTTCTGCGATCAATTCTAGATCTTTTACAGTAAAATGTGTATGAGGTGGAATGTATATAGAACAAATAGTGACAGTTTTATGTGATAAAATGGTGACTGCAGCCGTTTCAATAAAACTGTTAACTATAACTTCTCTTACTGCTATACCACTTTGGACAACGATGGCGACGCTGCCCGACAGCCGGTTGCTTTGCGAGCGGTCGCGACGTATAACAGTGTAACCTTTTAGTATTTTGGTGTTTTTTGGTCCCAGATTCGTTTCCTGCAAGCATAATGCTACAGGAGAGAAGCTTGTAAATATGTCCTTAATGTCGCTTAAGTTTCGTGTCATGCCTCTGCAGTTCCAATGGATGATGCATGCCATTACGTGAAATGATGTGTATAAAATTTAGTATTTCGGGTTAGTTGTGCAAAAAGCTAAAAAGCGACACAATTCGTGTGCTTCGTCACTTCTTTTTTTGTGGCGCCGAAAGTGTGTTTCGGCTCCCTTTTCCTCCTTTGCAGGGAGGGATGATGGGCTGCCTGATCGCCCTGCTAGTTGAAGCAGGGTCTGTCAGGCTTTCAGTGTCCAATGGACTCACGTCCATGGACTCAGCACCACCAGGGTGCTCAACAGTGTTGGTGCCCAGTGAGAATGCTGGCCTCCTCAAGGGAGGCTGGCTACTCGGCACCAATGTTGAGACCTCTTTTGCCTCGACATTAGGTTGGCTGGCACCAACACTGGTCGAGGCTTTGGGGCCTCCCTGAAAAAAAGGCACTGGGTGCTTTTTTTTCACTCTTGTCTGGGGGACGGACCATGGCCACTAGGTCCTGGAGTTCGACCTGTGTGCCTACGAAGACCGTCGGCGGTGCCTTCCCCCTTCGCACCGCTTCAGCGTAGGTGCCCTTTTGGACAAGAACCACACGCTTGCGCGCTTCTGGATACAATATGTTTTCTTTGGTTTTCAGTGTATGTCTTTTTCTCTTTGCCATTCTGGGCAGGAGCGTGAATACGCTGCATGGGGCCCCTTGCAGTTCACACAGTTTAAAGCGTTCGTGCACTCGCCATCTTCATGTTCATTCTGGCCGCATTTCATGCAGGTTGGATTACCACGACATGAATGAGACCCGTGCCCGAACCTCTGGCACCGGAAGCACCTGCGAGGATTATATATGTAGGGCCTCACACGTAGGTAAAGATACGCTACCTTAACTGCAGCAGGAAGCGTTGTGCTTGCGAAGGTTAGTATTACATTCCTTGTGCGGGTTTCCTTCTTATCTCTACGGATGATGATTGCTCATGCGGCAAGTACACCTTGATCCGCTAAAGCATTCACAATTTCTGCATCGGCGCACTTGAGCAGTTCATTATCGGATATTACACCTCGCGTGTAATTGAGAGATCGGTGAGCTGTTACACGGACTTCATGTTGTCCGATTTTTCTAAGGTGTCTAATTTTGTCACTTTGTTCTTTGTTTTTCACTTCTATGAGGAGATCTCCTGAATTCAGTTTTTTTGCACTGTAATTGCTTCCAATGCATTCTTTGATTGCTTTTGCAATCGGGAATGATGATATGTCTTGAATCTTAGTTTCAGTCAATGACGTTACAACAAAGAATTTCGTGTAATTGCTCTCTTTAGTAAGAAGGTTTCTACTTGCTTCGGTGTGACCCCTTTTACGGGACCGATCATTATGGAAAGGGCGGGTACTTTTTTCCATAGAAAAGCATGTTCATTCGGCAGCTATGCTGGCCACCCACCATGGTGTTTAACAAGGGGAACGTATACACACGTTAGCCATACATTGCTACTATAACCCCGTGGTCCTGACCAAGGGAGGTAAACGGAAAAGTAAACGGAAAAGAGAAGACAACAGGACAGGTAAGAAGTGAGCGATAAAGACGAAGATGTAGGGAGAGAAAAATAGGAAAAGGCGACTGCCGATTTTCCCTGAGTGGGTCAGCCCAGGGGTGCCGTCTACGTGAAGCTAGGGCCAAATGGGTGTGTTGCCTCTGCCGGAGGGCCTTAAAGGTCCAATCACCCAGCGTCGGCTCAACCCTCAGGATCCCCTTTTCCCCGGACACGGCAAAGCCACGCACGGCTAGGCGTGGGAGGGAGCCAAAACTCCCCCGTTAGCTCGGGTCTGTGGTGTCGCTACACACCAAACGCCTACTTGCGCAGGCAACAAGACATCAAAGTTTCATATGTCAGATCACTGAACGATAGCTATTTTGGCCAGATCTGAGCACTCACTGGCCCCACCTGGTAGATGAGCTCAGTGAATACTCTATAGAATCTTGCAGCACTTTTTAAGCACTGAAGTGGCTCTGTATCAGAATGCTCAAGTGACCAGGTTCCATTGTGGCTTGAGCCCTGCCTTTTTCTAATTTATTATTTTTTTATTAACCTCACCAAGGTTATGTGAATTTTCGTACTGCACACAACATTTTTCAAGGCAAACCTTATGCGCCACAAGGGGTGCCTAAGGCTTTCGTCTAAATAAACACATAATTCTAACAACTGTCAGCGCAGCCGTAAGCCAGGCACAGAGCATTAGCCCACGGCTTCACCACAGTCAATTAGTGAGCAGGTTTAACAGGCTGCACTTACAATTGGCATGCTTGCCAATTGTAAGTTTTGAGTAGTGCAAAGCTCGACTTCCTTGCACAGTTCGCTGCGCAAGCAGGTGCAACTACAGCGTAAAAAACAACTATTGAGCTAAATATTAGGTGTATTTGAGCATTGAACTCTTAATAAAAGAGCTACAAGTTTTTCTCCGCTAGTCAGGCGCATCACTGACCCGCCGTGAAGCGCTTGCTGGTTTACTAGCCAGAACGACGGCGAAAACAAGAGCAGATGCAACAGCTCCGCGCTCTACGAAAAAAAAAAAACCGCCACTCGCGCTACAGTTGTGTTGTGAATGGCTACGGATGCTAGGGACTTCGCTTTACTGTTTTCCGCAGCTTTTGTGAAGCAGAGCGGCGAGAGCACTAGACATGGGCTGTTGTGTTGGGTAAGCGAATCACTCGCGTTGTATACAGCCGTTCCCATGAGAAAGTGTGATAATGTAGGTCTCCTGTTGTTGTTTTGAGTAGCTTCGATATCAAGGGGAACCATAGTAACTATGATTATTAAGCTTAACAGAGCCTTTGATCGCGGTGCGCACCGTGCAGCAGTAGACAGGTGGCACGCACGGTAAACATCGCACACGCCGCGACTGCCGATAACTTGAAGCTCCACAGCATTACGCCTGAAGGCTGTAAAGCCTCTAAGTTCTGACTTTATCTATGAAATGCGAACACGCACGTTATACAGAGAAATCGCAAAATGATCACGACCACAATAAGTTTTTTTTTTCTTGCCGTTGGTCTCCGCGATTGCCAGAGCTATCTTGGAGGCCTCGGTTTTGCATTTCGTTGTAGACCGAGAAAGTGGACGCACATGCATCCCCGTTGGCAGTATATACAAACAGATGACAACCGTTAACAGAACATTCTAGCATGCGTAATAAAACAGTTCAATGCACAGGAAGGGAAAGATCGATGGAGAATGCAACTGCAATGGCCAAAATCCCCAGGGCTATTTGTGCCAAATAAAGTGAACTTCGTACCACTGATCGTAAGATAGATTGCTCGTGTATGCACTCATCGCTTTAGTATCATGTGTATAACCAAGTTTAACACATTTAGGCGTTACAGAACGAACGTCGGAGTGCTTGCCTGTAACTCAATGTCATGCGATGCTCGCTTGCACAAGTATTGAGGGACCATGCTTGCACTTAATGTGCCAGTTGCAGTATGCCGAATTAACTGAAACATATTTTGCGTTGTACCCACACTTTGCTTTGATGAGCTTCCTACTTTTCTAAAGCGAGGTTTGGTTGAAGTAAGAAGCTTGCCAGGTCTTTGATTTTCAGGCAACTGCGCCTCAAGGCAAACGAAAGAGAAAGGCCTATGCACTACCCATTTATGGCCGGCGCGTCGATGGGGGCGCTGATGGCGGCGTTTTTCGCAGCGCTGCCTGGACAGAGTCTGACGTCTATACAATTACGTGCATCAGTTCCTCGTGTTTCCCCACTTAAATCAAACGAGGCATCTCTAGAAATGTTTCCAACTCAGTGGCACCAAAACTACGCAGCTGAACAAGGAGTGTCGCCTGCAGTGAGAATAATGTTTGTCCGCAAATTTACGCTCACCATAACTAGTTCAGCTTCAAAAAATGATTACGCATTCGTCTACGATGACAGTGAAATGGAATGACGCGATATCGGTAAGAAATTCAACGTGGGGAAGCACGTCGTCCGGCACACATGCACGCCAACACAGATGCTTTCTTACCGATGCATATTTAGCGAAACAAAACAATGAGGTAGCTTCTTACCTTACGAAGGCCGTTTCCGCCGACCTGCCGATAAATTCGGCGTGCCGCGCTCAGGAAGTGCGGTAGAAATTGATCGTCCAGGCATCAGACGGCAAAAAGGAAACCTTCAAGGTAGGTACAACGTTAACTAGCAACATTTGGCGAGGCGCAGCAGCAATGAATAACTACTATTATCAAACTGCGTGAAAAGGACGGACATGGCTTACCGTAGGCGATGGGACTCGGAGGCCTGACATCAGCAGTCGTCGTTCGCAGTTGCTTTGATATTTTGGCCGACGGAAACATATAACACACCGCCACAACAGCACGAGATTTCACCGCTCACCAGAAGGAAGTAAAAAGGCAGTCGTCCATGACTGCCATATTTCATTTTCCGCGCGGCGTCCACAAAAAGCCGGGCGGGACCCTGAGCTCGAGAGTAGTTGCTTTCTAGAAAAAAAAAGGATAAAAGGAAACTCTATGCCTCCATGATCTAGGGACCTTAGTCTGGCCGTGGGTCCATGAAGGAAAGAAAAGTAACTCCAAGTTGGTAGGTGTTCTGTGCGTGGGTCGGATAAGTTAGTTCACAACGCCACCGCTATTATCACTGCATTGTCAAAGGTACAGTTTCTCTTCTCTAAATGGTAGTACATAGGTGTTCTGGGATACACTGTAATTAGTATATAGGTGTGCTGTGCGTGCACTCGCAGTCGCCACTGCATGCTGCAGTTACACCCGCCATTTTTTTTTTCTGTTTTGTAAATCTCTGTTACATCGCAATAAGAGACTGTCACATGAAGTCGAGTTTTTGGCTCTTGGCAACAAAAAACACGGACGCCGACTCCACTCACCCGGCGCGTAAGCAAGTCGGTGCAATCGGCCACGCCACTGAACACCTACCTCTCTCAACGTTTCAAGAATGGTGGCGCCTTAGAGGATGAGGGGTTGCTGAGGGAACTGCAGAATGGGTTTCGAAAACAAAACAACAACAAAAAAAAAGGTTGAAAGATAATCTGTTCTCACTGGCGCGGTGCATCGAAATAGCAGGAAATGAACACAGGCCCCTGTGGCTAGCATTTTTGGATATCAAGGGAGCTTACGATAGCGTGGTTCAAGAGGAATTGGGGGGAATACTGGACACACTAGGCGTGGAGGATGGGGTCACTAAGCTCTTAAACGATATCTATAAAAATAACAAGGTAGTTATAAAATGTGAAAAATAGTACCCGAGCCCACAGAGATAAAACGGGGGCTTAGGGAGAGTTGTCCTTTGTCACCCTTGTTATTCATCTGATCCTCCTATATCCATCTAATCCTTCTATGGCCTCAAATCCTACAAGGATTAGAGGCCAAATTAGAGGAGAGTGGACTTGGCTTCAACCTCTCTTTCGTCAAACAAGGAAAACTCATTGAACAGGCACTACCAGCATTGACGTACGCAGATAATATAGTGCTAATGGCCGACAACAAAGAAGATTTACAGATTTTGATGGACATCTGCCGTAATGAGGGATATAAGTTAGATTTGAGGTTCAGTAAAGAAAAATCAACACTGATGATTTTTAATGATAATGAAGGTAGTGAGCTTACGATACAGGAAGTCACGCTAAAGATAACGAATAAATACAAATATCTGGGCATATGGATAAGCAGTGGGACCGAGTATACCCAAGGGAACAGGAAATACACGTATAATGACTAAAGTAAACAGGCATGCAGTGGTGATGAAAAATAGGGCACTGTGGAACTACAATAGGTATGATGTGGTGAGATGAATTTGGAAAGGTGTCATGGTTCCTGGTCTGACTTTCGGCAATGCGGCCTTGTGCATGAGATCAGAGGTTCAAGCAAGATTAGAAATTAAGCATTGAGGAATAGGTAAGCTTGCTTTAGGAGCTCACAGGAATACACCAAATCAAGGAGTACAAGGTGAAATGAGATGGGCATAATTCGAGGGTAGGGAAGCTAGCAGCAAAATAAAATTTGAGAAGCGATTGAGAGAAATGGGGGAGGAGCGTTGGGCTAAGAAGGTTTTCAGCTACTTGTACATGAGGAATGTTGATACAAAATGGAGGAAGCGAACCAGAACATTGGCGGGTAAATACTTGGAAAAGAGTAGTGGGTCAGACCAAAAAGAACTATCTGTTAAGAAGAAGGTGAAGGAAATGGAAACCGATATGTGGAGAATCGGGATGATTAAGGAGTCCGCACTACAGATCTATCAAACTTTTAAGCAGGAAATTGCCGAGGAAAGGATTTATGATAATACTCGGGGTAGTTCTTTACTGTTTGAGGCCAGGACGGGAGTATCGCGAACCAAGAAATATCGGGCCAAATACGAAGGGGTAGATACGGTTTGCAGTGCGTGTGGAGAGGAGAAGAAAACTGCAACACTTGACAATGTTTTGTGAAGGGCTTCACCCTATAGTTCAGGATGATGACACAGAGTTTTTCAAAGCACTGGGGTTTAGGGACAGGGAGAGCAAAAATAGACTTTAAGTGGGTAGAATTAACTAGGAGGAGGTTGTGGCTAAAATCAAGGCACGAATGAAAATTATACTTTTTACTGCAAAGTACCAGTCTTAAACTTCACTGTATAAAGGGAAAACAAATACATATAGTTTTTGGTTCCCTAAGTATTACGGCTGGTGGCGTTAGCTGCCGCTCAATCTTCGGGACATGGAGCAAGCACCTTGCAATCCGGACTATGTATGGGAATATTGCAATAGAACAGAAGGCAGCAAAAAGGGGGTTGAAATTGGTGCATTCATACATAAAAGTATGGGTTAGCAAAGAGTCAAGCGGGGATGCATGGAACATTTATGGTTAAGAGGGAAAGTAGCTGGGCAGATGACACTACTTGGTTTAGTGTACTTGTGGACGGAAGCAAAGGACAGAGAAGAAAACCAGGCAATGGTGGAGTGTGTATCAAAGGACATTGAGGAATTAGGAGGAGAGTGCGAGATAATTATACTAGGAGATATGAATGCACACATAGAAGATATAGATCGGTATACTGACCCAACAGACAAATTGATCATGGCTATGTGTGAAAGGCATGATTTGATCATTTGCAACAGTACTGAGAAGTGTGAAGGAAAATAACATGGGAGGTAGGAAAGCTGCAGTCGACGATAGATTATGCACTGATGTCACCTAGGGTGTATGATAGGCTCAGGGGAATGCACATAGATGAATGTGGCTCCAAAAGTCTGGGTAATGATCAGAAACGTACCAAGCTAAGTTTTGTAAGAGCAGTGAAAGTGGGAAAGAGGCAAGATGAGCAACTACAGGAAAAATTTTATTCAGAAAAGCAAATAGAAATAGCTACTAAACAAATTGAGAAAGTAATCACTGAGGATAATAAAATAGTGTAGACATACACAAATCTAATTAGACTGTTTGAGCTAGAGCTTGCCAAGGCACGTGACAAGTCACCCCGGAAAAGAAGACACAAACCCAAGAGTTGGTGGGATGAGGAAGTTAAGAGAGCCATAGCAAAACGTCGGGAAGCCTTTAGGGAACACAGGCATGCTAAGCAGTGGGGTGAACCGACAGATGATGTTGAAAGAAAATGGGACATCTTTCTAAGCTGTAGAAGGGAAGCATCCCTTCTTATCAATGAAAATATTAGGAGAAAGGGGGCTCAGTGGCTGGCAGAAGTGCATAAAAAGGATAGAAAGGCAGCTGCGAAATTTTGGAACCATCTAAATTCCCTAAGAAATGAGACAAGCCTAGAACAGAGGTTTATTACTACAGCTCAACGTGCTAGGCTACAAGGGGGCGAAGCTATTGAATATATAAGAACAAGGGTGACAAAAAAATTTCAACAAATAAGTGCCTTATGCACCAAAATAGACAAGGATGGATCAAGTGACACAATGGCTCCATTTTCGTAACGAGAGTGGGAAAAGGCTGAGAAGAGGGTTCCTAGTAGTACATCAACAGGCCCAGATGGCATTCCAATTAGGCTGATAAAGACATTGGGTTCGAAGTCTAAACAGACTTTGAGAGAGGCAGTGAGCAAAACAATAATCGATGGTGAAGTCTCCGATGGATGGAAACTTAGCAGGGTGAGCATGATCTATAAAGGAAAGGGAGACAAACCTGACATAACTACCGTCCTATAACAATGACATCAGTGGTCTACAGGCTGGCAATGCAGATTATAAAGGAAAGACTACAGGCATGGATAGAGGATGGGTGGGGTGCTGGGGGAACTGCAGAATGGATTTCGAAAACACAGGAGGTTGGAAGACAATCTGCTCTCACTGACGCAGTGCATTGAAATAGCAGAAAAGGAACACAGACCCCTGTGGCTAGCATTTTTGGATATCAAGGGAGCGTACGATAACATGGTTCAAGAGGACTTGTGGGGAATACTGGACACACTAGGTGTGGCAGATGTAGTCGCTAAGCTCTTAAAGGATATCTATAAAGGGAAAAACAGGTATCCAAGCCTGCAGAAGTAAAACGGGGGCTTAGGCAGGGGTTTCCTCTGTCACCCTTATTATTCATGATGAACCTACAAGGATTAGAGGCCAAATTAGAGGGAAGTGGACTGGGCTTCAACCTCTCTTTTGGCAAACAAGGAAAACTCATTGAACAGGCAGTACCAGCATTGATGTACGCAGATGATATAGTTCTAATGGGCGACAGCAAGGAAGTTGCAGAAATTGATGGACTTCTGCGGTAATGAGGTTGATAGGTTAGATTTCAGATTCAGTTAGGAAAAATCAGCAGTCATGATTTTAATGACAATGAAGGTAGTGAGCTTAAAATACAGGAGGTCACGCTAGAGATAACAGATAAATACAAATATCTGGGCGTATGGAACAGCAATGGGGCCGAGTACCTAAGGGAACACGAAATATACGTAACGACTAAAGGTAACAGGAATGCAGCAGTGATGCGAAATAGAGCACTGTGGAATTACAATAGGTATGATGTGAGAGGAATATGGAAAGGGGTCATAGTTCCGGGTCTGACGTTCGGCAATGCGGCCTTGTGCATGAGATCAGAAGTTCAAGCAAGATTAGAAATTAAGCAACGTGGAATAGGTAGGCTTGCTTTAGGAGCTCACGGGAATACACCAAATTAGGGAGTACATGGTGATATGGGATGGACATCATTTGAGGGCTGGGAAGCTAGCAGCAAGATAAAATTTGAGAAGTGATTGAGCGAAATGGGGGAGGAGCGTTGGGCTAGGAAGCTTCTCAGTTACTTGTACATGAAGAATGTCGATACAAAATGGAGGAAGTGAACCAGAAAATTGACGGGTAAATACTTAGAAAACAGCAGGGGGCCAAACCAAAAAAAAAAAAAATATCAGTTAAGAAGGTGAAGGAAGTGGAGACCGATATGTGGATAATTGGCATGATTAAGAAGTCTGCACTAGAGATCTATAGAACTTTTAAGCAGGAAATTGCCAATGAAAGGATCTATGATAATACTCCGGGTAGTTCTCTACTGTTTGAGTTGAGGACAGGAGTATTGCGAACCAAGACATACCGGGACAAATACAAAAGGGTAGACACGGTATGTAA